ATATATAAAAGCCCGACGCAGATGCACTCAAGTTATGTCCGTTTTTCAAATTACCTCATAAAAAACACATAGTCACGAGGATGCATTTGTCTTTTTTTAGTTCTGGGAGGTGATAAGTGATGAGCATGGCATCGACCCCACCGGTAGTTACCAAGGTGACAGTGATCTGCAGCTGGAGAGGATAAATGTCTACTACAATGAGGCATCAGGTAAAAATAATAATAATAAAATTGTTTTCATTGACTCACATTTTGCACTTGCAMTTATTACCACTAATTTCTGCTTAATATCACTGCATGGCCTTAAACTGCACCTGAATGCAYCATTATGTCCCGCAGAGAATAAAAAGTGGGACAGAAAAAACTTGCTAAAATGTCTCTCTRTGTCTCTCCCTGCCCTTTCTCTCTGTCTCTGCAGGGAGTACAGGTACCTGCAGTCTTTGTATAGCTGACCTCCAGCACCTTTTCCTCAAGTATCTGATATTTCTGCTGCGGCACGTGGAAGTCCATTCAGAATGCATCCCATCTTCTTGTTCTTTGCATGTGAAGCACATTGGGATTCAAGCGCCCCGTACTTTTGTGATCCGACATTTAGATGGAGGCTGTCAGAAGGGGGGGGAAAAAATCTGAGTTCAAACTGTGTTCTGGATCGCTTTGGTTTAAATGAAAACCTGCACACCTGCTGTATTCTGGACTACGTCTCCGACGTGACTCGTTGACCCTTTAGTTTCACTGTAGCACGCTGCCACCAAGTATTGCATGTGGACTGATCAACACTTGAATACTGCTTATAAAAAAAAAATTTTGGCATTTCCGTCTTTATATCAACACTTAAGCATTGGTTGCAAAAAAACAGTTAGAGAAAACAGCAGATTCATTGTCTGAATAGACTCTGCTGAGCTCAGCAAATTGAAACTCCTGTAATAAACAGTGCAGTATGCTGCAGCAGCCTGCTTGCAAGCGGTGAGTGTCAGAGATGGTGGAGGGTGGATTTAAAAGGAAAAACAAAAAACTGGTTTGTGCAGGCTTTTGACTTTAAAAACCACAATTCTTTATGAATGCATAATTGTAAGTCATTATTGGAAAAACTGAACCATTCTGTATACTGGGTACATGTATTTACTGATTTCGTATACCATCCTTCTACATTCTTTCTTCTTATCCTTGCATTTTTTTAAAGGCAGTAAATTTGTGCCCCGTGCCATCCTGGTGGACCTGGAGCCAGGAACCATGGATTCAGTGCGCTCCGGCCCTTTCGGACAGCTCTTCAGACCTGACAACTTTGTCTTTGGTGAGTGAGCGTTGAGTCGGATCGTCACCCGTCGTCCTGAAGCAGCACTGTGTCAGCAGCTGTCGGCACGGGCCCGTCAATCTGTTCTTCGTTTGAACACAGAGAGACGGACAGCTAAATAACGCCACCTGTATTCCCCGCGGAGCATTTCTGCAGCTTCTCACTCTGACAGAGCTGGTGAATAAACAGATAAACAAATGCCACCCCTATTGACAGTCAGGTGAAGAGGCATGTTTATGGAAGTTCAACAAGTACAAAAAACAGATGATCTGGTTTTATGTTCTTTGAATAATTAGATTAATAAAAACTTTTTTTTCAAAAGGATGACAATCACAGTTCTTGAATATCTATAAATACCCCATTAAAAAAATAACCTTACAGCAAGACATTGGGCATCCTGAAGGATTAGAACGCTTACATTGCTTTTGCCAAACGCCCCTGCTTTTAATCCGTCAAGAGCATTTCCTAACATAATTTCGTCCAYTATTCTTTCACCAACTCTTACCTTAAAACACTTCTTCTGCAAGATTTTTGCGGCTTTTAAAGTCCGTYCCAAARTCCYTCAGCCTAGTTTCGGTGATCTTTAYGTTTTTTTGTTCATAAGGGTCATGAGAAATCTTTCAGCAGAGGCTCATCAGGCAGAGCACAGGGATTTATAAGGTGTGTCCATGATCATTATCTTATTGTACAGGTCGTCAGAGAAATGCTGCGAGGCAGCTGTGTTGCAACAGKGTTTCAACCAGCATTGCAGAAAATACTTTAAAAAAAAACGGCTTGATGAGGTTCACAGTGGAACAAATCACCACATGTTGTTTTTTTTTTCCCCTGAAGCTTTTCTGAATATCTTTTTCGGTGAAATCAGAGTTTTTGTTTGATTTTCTGCGTGCCAGCTTTCATTTGCTCGACAGTTAATATTCTTTTCTGCCACTCAAGACTTGATCTTTGCTGTTTCGGTTAAATGCCACTTCTTATTATTTTACAAACCGAAGGAACGGTTAAACAGAACATATGTGGCTTGAACAACCCAGACCCAAACCTTGAATAGTCTGAGTATTTTTAAAGGTTTTATCTTGTCTTGGTTGAGATAACGGTGAACAAACTAGAAGAAGACAAAGGAAGTTATCTGGTAGCCCAAATTTGTTGGGGTTCTTGTTTTCTCATGACCGTTTGTGTAAAATTTTAATAATAACAAGCTAAATTTCTAGAAAGAAAGCATTTTTTTGCACGTTTTCCAACATGAGTACTGTTTTCTACCATCCAATCATTCTGCAGGTCAAAGTGGGGCAGGAAACAACTGGGCCAAAGGTCACTACACCGAAGGAGCAGAGCTGGTGGACTCGGTTCTGGATGTCGTGAGAAAGGAGTCGGAGAACTGTGACTGCCTGCAGGGCTTTCAGCTCACTCACTCGCTGGGTGGAGGCACGGGATCAGGGATGGGCACGTTGCTCATCAGCAAGATTCGAGAGGAGTACCCTGACCGCATCATGAACACCTTCAGCGTCATGCCCTCTCCGAAAGTCTCCGACACAGTGGTGGAGCCTTACAACGCCACCCTTTCTGTCCACCAGCTGGTGGAGAACACCGACGAGACCTTCAGCATTGACAACGAGGCCCTGTACGATATCTGCTTCCGCACGCTGAAGCTCACCACGCCCACCTACGGTGACCTCAACCACCTGGTGTCAGCCACCATGAGCGGGGTGACCACCTGCCTCCGCTTCCCCGGCCAGCTCAACGCTGACCTCCGCAAGCTGGCCGTCAACATGGTGCCCTTCCCCCGCTTGCACTTCTTCATGCCCGGCTTCGCGCCTCTCACCAGCCGGGGCAGCCAGCAGTACCGCGCCCTCTCCGTGCCCGAGCTCACGCAGCAAATGTTCGACGCCAAGAACATGATGGCCGCCTGCGACCCCCGCCATGGGCGCTACCTCACGGTGGCGGCCATCTTCCGCGGCCGCATGTCGATGAAGGAGGTGGACGAGCAGATGCTGAGCGTCCAGAACAAGAACAGCAGCTACTTCGTGGAGTGGATCCCCAACAACGTCAAGACGGCGGTCTGCGACATCCCACCGCGTGGCCTCAAGATGTCCGCCACCTTCATTGGGAACAGCACGGCCATCCAAGAGCTGTTCCGGCGGATCTCTGAGCAGTTCACCGCCATGTTCCGCCGCAAAGCCTTCCTGCACTGGTACACGGGAGAGGGAATGGATGAGATGGAGTTCACCGAGGCTGAGAGCAACATGAAYGACCTGGTGTCCGAGTACCAGCAGTATCAGGATGCCACCGCGGATGAAATCGGCGAATATGAAGAAGATGAAATGGAAGATGAAGAAGACGTTCGCCATTGATTATGAAACCCTCCCATGACTTTGAACTAGCTCGAGAACTAATCGTGTTCCCAAAAAAACAAGCCGCGAGACCATGTTGTGAATAAATATATCAACTAAGTTTTGCAGTGTGCACATTGTGATATGAAATAAAATGTTCTTGTTTTGCCAATAATAAAAGTTGCACATAGACATTGCTTAAAGTGACAAAGCTAGTAAGTGGTGTTAGAACCTAAAATATGCAACTGCTTTTGTGATATATTTTTCTCCAAATCATGCTTTGTTGGCAACAAGAGGGGGAAAAGTGCACAGTTGCTCTTAAGACAGTTACTTATTATTTGTAGCATTTGCGTCATGGCACAGCTTTGGTTTGTAATCTCAAATAAAATCTAAAAACTATGCTTCACTTCATGTTTCTGCTTGTTATGATTACCCAAAACTAGGAACAGTTGATTTAAATAGATTTATTTGCACAACAGATCAGGTTTAGATTGGTTTAAATGATTTATTTCAGCTAGCTGGAAGTGAATGTAACGTCAAACGAAGAAACGTGAACAATTATCCACACAATTGTAATAATTTTTCTCTGATTTAGGCATTTGTGTTCAAAAAGCAGCACTTCACTGAATTGCCTAACATATAGTTTGAATTTAAACAAAACTTGACAATACTTGTTGAAAGACTTACAGAGGAAAATGCGTTTGACCCTCCCTGTTATTCAGGCTAAGCCCTAATACAATAGACTGGCCCTAAAAGATTATGTTGATTGAGCCCAGGATTGTAAAATTACACCCAATATAAGTTACTTTGTTTTGAAAGAATGCTATAAAATTGTAATCCCATCCACACACCCCAAGCTGTGTTTTCAATGCAGTGTGAAAAGCTGCAATAATTTAAAGGCTGAGCCTGGGCATGAAGTCCAGTTTACTAGGTCTGTTTTGAAAGGGATCTCCTCTTATAACATCAGACATCATTTAATAAAACGGCAATGTCTTTGTGACAATATAGTTTTTTTATTTATAAAAAAATTAAATAGCCTAGAGTATTTTTACAGTCTTTGTTTTACAGTTGAAGTAAATTTTTATCGAATAACGTCTAATGTTATAAGTAGTCGGTAAGTTTTGATCAATTCACAGATTCAGTTTGGTTTCAAATTTGCACAACTCTTGTAGCTTTATATAACTTTCCTGTCAGTTTATCTGATACATACTGACTAATCTTTGTTTTGTCATAGTTCAGTGATTTTGTTACTCAAGTAAATGTGTGGGCGTCTTAAAGGGAATGATGATGTTATAATGAAATCATGATGTTTGTAAAAAGAAACAAGAGGGAAAAAAATTAAAGTTTAGAACTTTTTTGTTTTTACATATTTGTGTAAAAACACTTTTAACAACTCATAGAAAAGAGGCCAACTCAATATAACCTTACATCATTTTACACGACAAAATGATTGTTTTGTAATGTTTTATTACATTTAAATTGCCAGGTTAGACTTCTTCTGACAGCTTCTTTTGGAGGAAATATAAACAATTTAATGTGGAACCGCGACCTGCCTGGAGCCGCAGGTTATTTCCTGAATGGCAATTAGGTAACGATAAAATGCTGTATGTTTAGTTCTAATAATGCATTGCTGCTGGTGGGGCTTGAATCTTGATGACTAATATCTTCCTTTATTTCTCATTTGTAACCTTTTTGAACATTTGCTAAAAAAAATAACAACCAAAACCTTTACCTAATTTCCCTCTGGGATCAATAAAGTATTTTTGAATTGAATTGAATTGATTTAAAACTAAAACTGAAGAAAATGATTTAAGCTAAAGTGAAAATAAGAGTTTAACACATGCCATTTGTGTGTGTGACAGCATCAAGATGAATATTAATAAATAAAATTGGCTGAAGCTTTATAAGAAATGCAACTTTCAGAACAAAACATTGAAGAAGTTGTATTTTTCCTCAGACACTGACTTCATAAAAGGCCTCCTGTGCAACAGAGATCTGTGATCTCAATGGGATTTATCTGCTTAAATAAAGATAAATACACGTTTTCTTGGTGACTCCTGTTTTTGAGTGTATTTGTAAGTATTTTTAAAGACTGTTTGCATTATGCTTCAGGCTTAAGAGCAGGAGCTGCCCAAGATTTAGCTCAACAACAGACATTTCAGTCTTTTTTTTTATTTTACCCATAAAGCCGCCCTACAAGTTCTCAGGCTTCTCCTTTAAYTGACGTTGCTCTGTCATTACTAAACATAACCCTAAAGTTTTTATCACTCCAAGATGATTAATAGCCAAACAGAAAACATTCTTGTATGGTTTGAGCTTGCAGAGGTATGTGGTTTAAAAGGAAGACAGCTGGTGTGCCATCTTGATCTATTGCATTGTTTGTGCATGTAGGTAAAATGTAAATTCTCTGCAGAACAAGCACTGAAAGTAAAGTGAGACTCTTAAAACTGATGACTGATAAGGGCACAATGTGATGCCAGCTCCACCAGTGGAAAAAAAAAAAAGATAAATGTCTGTTACAATCAATTGGGCATGGCACAGTACCAGTTAATGAGATATCACTGAGAACTGGGTGCTGCAACTTTTTTTTTTTTCAAGAGTGTAACAGTAAAATACGTTCTGCATCGGGTCACACCCAAAACCTGGCTGAGAAAGCAAGTTTTTTTTTTCCAGTTTGACAACTGATGGAAACCACGTGTTTTGTGATGAATGATGGCCTGAGGAGCTAACTTATGGGAAAAACAAAAACAGAGACGAGACTGCCCTTGTTTGCACCAGAAGAATCGTTAGAACAGGTTTTTTTTTTTTTTTTTTTGGTATGTGAGTATATTTTACTTTGGACAAAAACTTGCATAGGCAAATCGTGTTTTCAGAAGTTTTGGACATGAATAAAATTAAAGAATAAATATTGAAACTATAAAACTAAGCCAGGTGTTACTATGGATCTTATTTTAAGACATACAGTCAAAAATGACAAATCTCTAAATCAGTGTTTCCAACATTGGGGTCGGGACCCCTCTGTGGGTCATGAAGCATAAAAAAGTGTCCCCAGCTGATTACCAGACATACATTTAAATGCAAATAAGTTAATAATGGAATATTTTGAAAAAAAAAATAAAGTAACAAAAGTAGTTTTAAGTTAGAAAGGTCTCTCGAGTATGTAAACTAATGATATCTGAGGTCATATGCATTATTTGCAGGGGGTTAGGGGGATTATGACCTCCACAATAATGTGATCCCCCTCCAATAAATTGACATCATTTGCTCAAACACAATATAAATTGACTGCTTAACTGCATGGCTCTCTTGTTGTCTTTAGGTAACTAACCTGATTTTAAAAATTACCATCTCATGTATGTACGTTTGAGCATTACTGCTAAAAATGACATGCARGATTTTGGAGCATTACCCACCCCAATGATAGACTTAAAGTTACACCCTTGTCTGGGGTCAAAAACTGTTATTTTGTGGGCCAGAAGTTAAAAAGTTTGCAAACCACTGCTCCAATTGTTTATAAAAACAGAGAGTGACAATGTGTCTAACCTCAAAACCCTAACTGTAGCTGTACATGTTTATGACGTAAAAGTTGTCCTTGCCCCTCCTTTTTTTAATGTGATACAATTACATTGTAGGAAGTTTGCGTCTGTAGCTTCTCGTCATTGCAGGCATAATTTTGGTATGTTCCTGTATGAGTCACGTACTGAACAAACTAACCTACTAAACATCAAAAAGAAATAAGTAGTAGGTCCTCTGGATKTTTTTTCTACTTGGATTACTGAGATGCATCAGGACGGAACCTACTAAACACACTAAAGTCCCTTCCTTGCTGGACAGGTCGGAAATGCATTGTTTGATGCTTGCTACTTCTTTGGGACATATGAATCCTAGCGTTTGTTTTCTTTTACGTTTGGTACTTGTCCAAAGTCGCAATAACTGTTTCATGGTGGATAAGTAAARCAAAAGCTGGTGGGCAAAAGCTGCGGTGTAAAACAGAGATTACATTTAAAACKGTTAGACAGTGGAGGTTTTTTAATGCTTTATTTACCTGCTTAAGCAGTCATTAACTGCTTTATTTTTTTTTTTGTTTGTGGGAAATCTGATTCTTTTCAAGCGAGACGTTTCACAATATGACTCGTTATCCCGCACAGCACAGGAATTCTACTGTCTGCTTGCATGAACCTGAAATGTGAGCCCATGCTTGCTGAAAGATGTTTTAACCTCTTCCTCCCAGGAGTCTGCTGCACACAATCTGTTTTGGTTTTAAACCTCTACCAGCTTATTTCTTATGAACTAAAATAAAAAAGGGGTTTTTGGAGCTTACTTTTAAATTTTGAGAAGCTTTTTCCCAGTGGATGTTTCAATATTTTTGCACCCAAGTATCTAGCACCATAACTTTTGCCAGCAAGGTTAGGTGCATTCGACTGTGAACACCACACAATACTTTTAAAATCCATATTTCAAATCACAGACAACAAGGTGGAACAAATATGAATGAGAAATATTTTATTAGAAATAAGAAAAAAAAACTCTTTAAACAAACACACTCTTGCCATCCAAATCCTTCAAAATTGTGAAATTCCCAAATGAGATCACAATTATGTTATAAAACATTCATTGCCTCTGACACACATTATTTACATACATATATATGAATATACACACATACAATCTTTAAAAACCAATCAGAATGAAAAATATGACATATTTGTCATAAAGCTCAGTACTGCACTGCTCTTTCCCAGCAAATTACAAAAGATAAAAAACGTTTTTTTTTTCCACAACAAAAAGAGCAGTGTGAAACCAAAGCACCCAACAAATACTTTCAGTGTTTAGCAAGGACATCATTGCATACTCAGGCAACCCATATTACCTAAATGTTGTTTTAAACAGATATAACTAACAGAAATACATAAACGGAAACATTCTAATTTACTAAAAGTCAAACTGCAACACTAGCACAAACTTGGCTTGCAAAAAAAAAATCTAGATTCTGTTACAAACACATTTTTGTGATTTGGCATTCAACACTTTTTAATGTACAAAAATTTGCATTTGAAAAAAAAAACACAACAATAACAAAAACTATTATTTTAGTGAATGTTTTAATGACTTGTCTGTGATAATTAAATGGCACAGTGAATTCAGAGTTATGTTTAAGGAAAAACTGGAGCCAGAATAAATTAAACCTGTGCAGTGGTTTCTCTTTTAAACTTGTTAAGCAGGTTTGGTGTTTAATAAACAGGAAGTCTTTAATCCGACAACTGTTTCTAGAACAAGAAGCTTGCTTTGTCTCCAAGATCTTTCCATCGTTTTGTTGCTAAGGGCAGAGGTGTGTCAAGAGATGTGATTTTGTGTGAAATGTAAATAAAAAATGTAAATTAGCCTAGCTTTTAATTTGAATTATAGTAGTTTAAACCAAAAAAAAAATGGCTCAAATGTAGAAACTGGTCATTTTTCAACTCAGAAATGGATGTTAATTATCTATGGTGTAATGATAAAAGTCAGATAATGCCTATAAAATATTGTTTACTTTTGTAAATTTACTTAACACTAATAAATAACTGGGTTCATTTAGACCTACATAAAATTAGTAGTAAACACAAAATAAAGCTTCATGTCAAGCTGTTTACACTCTTCATATTTTGTTATATTTTAAAACGGTTTGCAGCAATACAAGTACTATAGTGCATTTTACTCAATAGAAATCTTTGTAATTGTATCTAACCTTAGTGACTAGGTTACACAAGGGGGTCATCTAGAGATTTGTGCTAGACTCAACATTTTTCTTTGTTATTGTGACTTTTTTATGCTGCGTTACCACCTTCTGGTTTCCTTGAACTTTTGGTGCAGTTATCTGTGCAACGTCCTCCTTTGATCCTGCAGAACCACGTGAACTCATTGAAAAAGATTTTACCTGCTGCACCCCTTTACCTCTGGCATCTGAAGATGCCAGCRTTGAAGCAAGCCCCTGCCCCATTTGACCAATGCCCTGCACTAAGTTTGCACTGTGTGTTGCTCCAGTGGAGCCATTCTGGACTACAAACACTTGAGTAGATTCAGACACTTTGCCTTGAGAAAGGCCATGTGCTGTCTGCCCTGCCACTCCACCCATTCCTACCTGCCCTTCAACAAGGACCATGCCCTGAGAACCTTGGAGGCCACCAACCTGCATTATACCCTGACTAAACCCAGCTTGGCTCACCTGGCCAACTGCCTGCTGGGTTCCACCTGCAACAAGCACCATTTGTGGCTTGGACTCAACAACATACATGGGCGTAGCAGCATAGTACATAGTGGGCTGCTGTATGAGCAGTGTTTGATTTGGAATGACCCTATTTTCCTGAACTTGTATACTGGGAACAGTTGCAGAACCGTGAGTTCTCTCGGTAACTCGCTCTTCTTGAATGATCGTTGAGGACCCGGACGCTACTTTGGAGGTGTTATGGGTGTTGACGTTTGCGTGGTCCCTGTCTCGGACAGTTTCCGTGTGAGTATGGACATGAGTCGAGGCGGAAGGCCTGATCTGAGGCATCGGTTTGACTGGGGGACGAGAAACTTCTACATCCACCGACTTGCTCACCAGAGATCCTCCGTGACAAATCTCAGCCAGTGTTAAGAATTTTGGCCCCAGGTCATCAAGGAAAGCAAGGTCATTTTCATTTTCAAGGATGCTGCAGCAACCTACAGAACCTGCCAACGACCCTTGACCCTCATAGCCGTAGACCTGGAATTGTTCGTTTTGTTGATTTTGCTGTGACACTTCCTCTGATTTCTAGGGAAAAAAACAAAGAAAGCAGATATTGCAATGTAAACTGTACTATATAATGGAAAGTCCACTTGTCTAGCTGACATAAAAGATTCATATATAATCAGCCTAATTTAGGTTCTTTTATCAGTGTTAGGAGTAATTCTTGAACAAACTCATTTAACTGTAAGGATACTCACTTGTGAATAGTACTGCCCCAGAAGGTGATCTGGCAGGGCCAATCCATCAAAGGCCCCATATTCGTAATTGGTGAAACGGATGTCTTGTCCTCCCATCATCCCTCCATCTGTAAAGCCCATGTGCTGTTGCCCGCTGGAGTACCCATATCGGTTGTACAAGTACGAGTCCTGTCCTGTCATGGTTAATCCTCCGCCTAGAGCTGCATCCGTTTCAACCAAACCTGTCACGTAATCCTTTCTCCCACTCATTTTGATGTCTGTTCCACTCATACCACCATCAACATTCAGTGGAATTTGTAGGAGAGGAACTTCCTGTTTTTTAAAAAAAGGAATTTCAATCAGGGTTGAAGGATTTTTCTAGCAAGCCAAACATTTAAATGATGTATTCAATTTGAAAATAAATAAATCAAAAGTACCTTGTCTTCTCCTTGTCCCTCTGTGTGATAGGAGATGAGTTGTTCTTTTGCATCAAAAGGCAAAGCCTTGAACTCTCTTGCCGCATCTCCACACAGGCAGAGCAGCAGAAGAAGGGGAACCACTAAAAAAAAACCCAATCAGAACAAAATAATTTAAAAAGTATAGCAGAAATTGCTTTCTTTGACTAGAATGTTTTTTTTCTTTCAACAAATCTTTTTTATTTACAGAAAAAGGAAATTATTGTGCAATCATGCTGTTGCTGTTGTGTTTCAAAAACTGAGACCCACCCTTTCTTCTAAATCTTTGTATGCATGCTATGGCTTGCTTCGTTAAGTAACTTTATAAGAAACATTAAGATCTCTAATGAAAACTTCCAACCAGTAATGCCGCCCCCACTCCCAACAACAAAGTGTACAAAATGAAGACGAAAAACACCTGAACTTACACAGTAGAAGCAGCAGTCCTAGCAGCATTAGCAAGATGCCGCCGATTCCAAAAGCTGAAGAACTAGAACTACGTGCGGCACAAGTTTTAGCGTCTTTTTCACATGTGCACACCAATAAATCTATTACTTGGTCATCAGCGCACATCTTTCCCTGCTGGTCTGCGACCTCCAGTTTCACACTGTATTTGCCTGGCCACAAGTGGGCTTGGTCTCGCAGAATGACTGAGGTTTCTACAAAAAAAAAGGACAACCAAACTTCAAATTTGAACATCAAGTACATCACAAAAGATTTGTACTCTGCACATATGTAATTTAGTTGATTTTCAGCATTCAATTCTGAAGGGAAAATGTTCTTGAGCTTGTGTTAGATTTACAATATCAGTCTTGAAATTTCTGGATTTTCCAAATATTAAGAAAATAAAACAATATTTGAAAAGAGCTATAAAAACAACCACGCTGTAAGAAATCTCACCTAAAACAACCAGTTGTTATCCTCAACTTACCATTTAAAGGTTCCACTATCCATTTCTGATTGTCGTCTCCAATCACATTGAAGTGAAACGGTGCTGAATTGGGGAACTCGTCTTTATCCACAGCAGTGACATAAATGACACTATCATCGAAGCACATGGTCTGAGTTGTGGAGGTGATTTCTGGGCAGTGATCATTGAAGTCCTCCACCTGAATGGCTATGGTCCCTGTTGCAGTTTTCGAGGGAACATCTGAAAACCAGTTAAAACAGAGTTAATCTGCAATCTGCAGAATGTTCCATTTGTATGAAATACAAAGAGAGCGACATTTCCTACTGGACTCACCATTGGAAATGCATATAATTTCGGCATAGTATGTTCCATTCTTTAGATATATAGACTCTCGATCGGGTAATTTATTCATCCTGATTTCTGCTGTCTTTTCATCAATTGACAACCAGTTGTCTTCATCATGCAACTTTGCGTATCTACAAGTAGAAAAAAAATATAATGATACAAATTAGAACCACAAAATGGAAACTTATTGAATCAACCTAATGCTGAAAAAAATTATCTAAAAAAAAACTATTTAGGACCATGACTAGAGGGACATTACCTCACGTTGGTGGCAGTTTTTAGTGTGTCACTATCAATAGCAGAGTAGGTAGTGATGACTTTGCTGACGGAGAATGATGATTTGTCCTCAGAGACGGGCACCACTTTTACAGTGGGCTGGAAACGGGGACCCTCCTTCTGATTGAGTACATTTATTTTGACGGGATACGTTTTACCTGCTCCTGCACCCGTCATTGACCCGGTGCCAGAGCCAAAATCGTAGCCTGCCTTGTTGTGAACCCTCACACCCAAATCTAGTGCCTTTATTTCTTCATAGTCAAGGGCCTGCAGATTAAAGAATGAAGCATGACTGATTGGAATTGTGCCAGTTTATTGTATAAAATGTATGTTTGTATAAAGTAAATAAACAAAAGGCAGAACTTTTTACCTTGTTTACTGTGATGACCCCCTCGTTTGTAGCAGCATCAGTTGTAATGCTGAAATAACCTCCCTCATTCCCAGAAGCGATCTCATAGACAGCAAGCCAGTTGTCTGTGTTGATTAAATCCATGTCCGTGGCTTTAATCCTCATCACTTCCATACCAACTGTGTTCTCTTCCACGCTCCCCTCGTACTACGAAGAAATTGAACATCAGTGTTTGCTTTTGGGCAACATCATCAATCCAGTCTGTTAAAAAAAAAATCCAAGCTGTGCTAGTGGTGTCACACGTACCGATTCTTTTTCCAGCTTTGGAATATTGTCATTTAGGTCCAAAACTTTAATCACAACTTCACCGCTTCCTGAGTTTCCTCCTCCTTGTCCATTCATGTCAGAGGCAATAATATTCAACCTGTATGTGTCTTTGGTCTAAAAGAAAAAAAAGTAAGAAATTAAATGAAATGAATACTGCTTTCTACTATTTAAAAACTTCTGATTAAACATATGCCTATGTCATTTATTGTTAAAAACAAACTATATTCCAGAATGTACATACACAGTATTATACGAAATATATAGTAACTTACCTCCCTGTCTATACTACTCTTTTTAACCCTGATCTCTCCGGTTTTAGAGTTGATTTCAAACATGTCAGCTCCGGCACTCCTTTCATCAATTCGGTATGCGATTTGAGCATTAGGAGTTTGAGGATCATCAGCATCAGTAGCTATTACTCTCATGACAACAGTCCCTATAAACACCAAACATAATTGTTTAAATTCAGTATACAGTGCTGATATGTCTAAGAGATCATAAATATTTTGCAGATCTTACTCACCTGCTTTGCAATTCTCAGTGACTTCCCCAACTTGCTGTGTTTTAACGACTGGTGAATTGTCATTGACATCATCAACTTTAATTGTAAGGGCAACATCCTTTTCAGCACGAGACCCATCAGGGTATTTTGCCACACCACTTAACTACAATAAAAAAATTAATAAAAATAGTAAAATACTGATTATGCCATTTTTCTTTAACAGATTTTTTATAAACAGCAGTTTTTAAGTGCTCTTACATAGTACGTAGAGATTTCTTCTCGATCCAGAATTTGATAGACTTTCACATAGCCAGTATTTTGGTCAACAGCAAATCTCCCAATAGGATCTTCATCAACACCAGGACCGTGTAATTCATACTTTATCTTTGTGAAATTCTCCTTATCAGAGCGAATCTGAAACACAAAGACAAAATTTACTGAAATAGCTGCAAATATAGTTCCTTTAAATCAGAAGTTCAAAATAAAAATAACAAAACAGCTCATTTGCAGGATTGCTGTACTATACGGTGTATATGTATACACCGTATACATATATACACCGTATAGTACAGTATATATATGTATATAAATGTATATGCATATGTGTTTATGTATATGTGTATATGTGCTTTGGTATATGTACATTACAATATATCACGTGTATGTTGTGGGGTTGTTTTTGTTTGTTTTCTTTTATTTATCTTTCTTTATTCTTCTCACCCTCTCCTGTATTGGGCTGCAGTAATGTGCAAATTTCCCCAGGGTGGGATCAATAAAGTTTTATCTTATCTTATCTTATCCTCTGCTAGAAAATGACATTTTAGCAATATACAAAATATGTGGGAACAAAATCCCTATTTTAAGGATTTTTATTTTAAAGATGAAATAATTAAATTGTTGCACTTTCATATTTCTGGGCTTCGTCAACACAACCTTCCATTGTTGATTCAAGCACTAAATAGTCTGACGCATTTTACTTAGGTGAGTCAAACTAATTTTGTCTCAGTAAATGTTTTCTTTTAATAAGTCATGTCAGGTTTGCTTGACTTTTCACTATATGAATTAAAAGTTTCTGTGAAATTTGTTTTATGAACACATATTTTGTCAGAGTGACTTTCAGCTGTCTTGTTGAATAAACCTTGATTTGGATGTTTTGGTTCATTCAAAAAGTAATTTAAATGAGCTGAACCAGTCCGGTTAAGTTAAAAAAAACAAAACCCAGTAGAAAACGTTTAGCCAGTCAAAAATTATTCTTTGAAACCCACCCAAACATGGCACCATGAAACAAAAGCCTACTTTTTAAAAAAAGTTCACTTTGAAACTCGCTATGATGTTATTCACGTGTATTTGGTTGAATCGCACACGATCTGGCTCGTTTTTAACGTTGTCTGAACAAAGACAGTTCTATCATGAATAAATGACTTATTAATTAAATGGAAGTTTATTATGAAATAATAGTTTTGATTGATGAATCAACCAGTTGATGAGAACAATTGAAAAGTGAACTCAACATGCACACACCTRAAGATTAAAATGCTGCTTCCCTGACACTGAAGTGTGTAAAAAATTATGCATATTTATTGTTAAAAGTTAGTTTTTTCATTTTCTCTTTTAAAAAAAGGACAAGTAAATCAAAAAAATTACATACCCTAGCGATAAAGTCGTAGCCTGTGTAATCTACGTTCTCCACAAGCTTTCTGGGCGCCACGATCCACTCTCCCCTCACAAAAACAAGCTGAAGAAAAACAAAGAGGACAATTAACATTTTATCAYACATGTGTAATAATCACAAAATCACAGGACTCATATGTGCTCCAGTTTCACCTCAGCTACACTGTAAAAAATGAAATGTTGGATTTACTTAACCATGTTATGTTACCTGGTTCCACTTAACTGAGTTGAGTAAATTCAAAGCAATACACCAGTTTTTTTTTAGCCAAAGAACATGAGTATGTTGCTTTGAATTTACTCAACTCAGTTAAGTGGAACCAGGTAACATGGTTAAGTAAATCCAACATTTCATTTTTAGAGTGTATTGATCATTTCTAATTTTTGTCATCAGGAGCAGTATGATCTTGACAGGTGTTAAAATACACATCTGTTGTGGTCAAAACAGATTCATCCAACATGTTTACAGTACAGTGTCATATTGTAGTTCATTTATTTATTAAAATTATTTCACATTCAAAACTTCGTGTTGGTAACTTTGGCTCCATTAACTGGATGGGACATGTTTGACACAAGACACCAGGACTTAATTAAACGAGACGTTTCCACATCCAATATTCATGAGTAAAAGCTACAGCCTGAAGGAGAACTGGGAGAATTTAACTTGACGAAATTCTAAATAAATAAATAAATAAAATAAAAAAACAAACACTGACAACAGCGCAAACAATGGTGTTACTAAAGGCGTTTCCATCGACCTTCATGCTGTTCCCCAGACAGACGGAGAGRGGCCACACCTGTTGAAACTTCTGCTTCCCGACGCTCGAAAATGGACTTAAACGCACCATTTACTCACCGTGAGGAAGAAAGTCAGGAGAAGGAGCATGCTGCATTTCAGCAGGCGAGCCATCGGGACTGGAGGGGAGAGAGAAAAAAGAAACTATTTTCCAAAGTGTTCGGTTCGAAGTGGAWTACAGTCCGTTTGAGTTCCGCTGTGGACTGGTTCTGATACAGACTTTAACCCAGAAAGGAGGAGGAGACGAGTTTTACAGCCGAACCGGGGCGTGCCTCCGTTTCATTGGTCATAAGTTTCTGCTATAAACATTATTACGTAGCCTGTTTTTTTTTTGTTAGTTTTTTTTTATTGAAATAAACAAATACACCCGTTAAGTATTTATGATTCTATGCTGGTCAGACATGTTTTTAGAAACGGATGTACTTCATGAAGCGTACCACTGGGGAGTAGACCCACGTTTCTCGGGTTACATTTACCTTTCAGACCTGATCCATTTGGATTAACAGCACAAAATAGTCTTTGAAAAACTCCAGCTGTAACCTGATCTGCCACAGAGCTGCCGCTAAACCTGAACCAACTCATGGTGAAGGTACACCAGCATACATATCAGTCTCTATAATGTTATMTCTTTTGAAATACAATCATCAAAACATTAAGTTCAAAGGGCATCCTGTGTGCAAAAGGAAACACTATCTAGTTATTTTTTATTATTATTATTATTTTTACATAATGCCTGCAGATCCAGGCTCAGGATGAGCTGCGTTTGCCTCAACCGTCTGGTGATTTTATAGGAAAGGACAAAAAAAAAATACAGTCAAACACAGAAGAATGGGTCCAGACATAGTTTTTATGACATTAAAAACACAAGTTAACAACTGCAATGACTGCATACGCACAAAAAAATTGAGTTTGTCCCTCAACAGTATAAGTTTATAGATATATAACTATGGGATAACTCAAGAAACCCCATGCCACGTCTAGCTGTAGGATTTCTAAAAAAAAGAAAAAGAAAGTTTAAAACCTAATCTTACAAGCAGACAGGGTGTCAGGTGAGTGACCTGCAACTTAAAGCTCCGCCTCCAATCTACTATAGGAACCACAAGTAAACCTGCAACTCAAGTGTTAACGACAAACCCAAATATAACATAGCCTCACTTGAACATTATCCTTCTGTATTACAAAAAAATAATCAAAATTTTGTTTTTTATTTTTTTGTTTATTTTATTTTTAAAATAAAATAAAAAATAATAACCCCAGTCATAAAGTATTGATAGACACCAAAACTATTTCACAGTAAGAATACCTCTCCTGTCAAAGTCCATATACATATAGTTGAATGTTATTGTTAATAAAATCATTAAGATTGAGGTTTTTCTGTGTAAAAACCCACTTTAGTCTTTTTCGTCTTAGACTTTGGTACCTCCGATTTGCTCCTTGTTTCCTGAGATTCATAGAGAGCTGCATGCAAACAACRTATGTTATAATGCACACTTTTGAGTCTGCAACCAAGTGGCATGATTAAGTTGACAGATGTTTATCCCACAAAATACAGTATCTTGTATTAACAGTCTAAATTGACACACGGCAAAAATCTATGAGCTTTAATGTTTACCAGAAAACATCTGATAAATACTGGCAAAAGTGCCAGAGTAAGTGACTCATAATGTAAAAAAAAACATTATCTTGAGAAACAAAAGTTCCATCTTTGTTTTGCATAATTTACTTATGATTTTTAAAGAAATAGATGGGAATCGCTTCAGCTGATGTTTCGTCACACGCCTGTTATATTTCGCCAGTACACACAAAATTCCAAAGCAGAGCCTCGCAGATTGGCCCACTGAACCGGAATGCAGGATGTGTGATTGACCGGGAAAACACAGCAAAAAGCAAAACAAAAAAAAAAAAGGGAATTGCAGACTGCGCATGACCATGATGCTGACGATAGGTGTGTGTGTGTTATAGGTGTGTGTGAGAAAGTGCATTGCCAGTTTCATCTTGTCTGGGACGGAATGCAGGTGTGAATTCGTGTTTTCAGACAGCCATGAATCAGTTATTTAGTCATAGTGTGATAGAACATGGATCGCCTTTTWTTTGTTTTATCTTGTCGAACTGGTGTTGGTGCCAGTGTGGGACACAAGTTATATAATAAATGGGAAACCGAATCCTATTTTTTGTAAAAGTCTGTTTTTCGCAGCAGGTTTCCAAGAGGTTTTTTATTGTTTGTGTGAAATGTGGTGAAGCRGGTCTCTTATTTTTGGTCTAGGTGTGTCTCCTGTCTAAACCTTGAGGGATCAAACTGCTTTGGAGCAAGCAGAGTCTTTTGAACTCAKAACAATGTCCTCAGGTGACATTCAGTAAATTTATTTCCGCGTAGCCTTGACAGCAGTCTTTAATGTCGCTGATGTTTTGACTAGCCAATAAATCTACACTTTTTCTTCTTTAAAATATAGGAATTTGTTCTAATCAAGCCACATATTAGCGTTTGTGAAAGCTGGATAAGAAAAGGCAGCCTGTGAGGTGAGGTTAAACAGGTTCTTTTTCCAGGCAACTTGGTGACATTTGGTTTGAACTGTTGTAGCACGTCAAGGTTTCAAAACACCAGCTAATAAACAGATATYGGTTAATCAACTTTCTAATTGCCTCAAGGCAACAAACTCATCTGTAGTTGCGCTGCGGGCGAGGAGCGAGGGGTGGTGTTCGGGCGGATTCAGCCTCAGGAACATGGCAGTGCCAAAAACAAAGTGACTGAACGCATCACAGCGTTGTTCATGGGACACCAGAACATCCTGTAAAGGCCCTCAAGGTTCGTCACAAGTCGCAGACACCTTGATGCTGTCATCCCCACGCAAGTTCCAAAAAAATAGTTGCGTCACTCGGTGCTGACACACCCACGACAACACAACACAACACAGGTGCRGAGCTGCAAATTACAAATCACATTGCGCAATTTTGTTTTATATTTTACGTTATATGGGGACGAAAGTCTGATTTTACAACACTTCAGTCTAAAAAAATGACTCACTTTCAACTGTCTATTCAGCACAAATAAAGTTAATATTTTGAACATTTTATCATGTCTAAAATGAATGCAGAACCCCCAGATATAAGAACTCGTTTTCCCCAAGTGCCATCAGACTTTTAAACAGCTGAATGTGACAATCTTCTATTATTATTGCACATGTGCACATTTCAGACTGTTACCTGTTGCACATTTACACTTTAAACTCTGATGTTCCCTTTMTTGATGTTATTATTGTATAGTTCCCTTCTGATGTCATTATCTCTAGGTCTTTTTTTGTTCGGAGTGTGGTCTTTTTTATCCTTTATCCCTTATTACCTTGTTAGTGTCAATTCAGTGCTTATTATTTTTAGTATGGTTGTCTCTCGGCATTCAAAGCGGTCGGCAAAGTAAGAATTTCATCACTCAGGGAAACATGTTTTCATCTGTGTATATGACAGTAAATACTTTGAATCTTGAATTTGAATCCCTTTAATGGCGTTTTCTCCTAAATAATGAGTGCACGTGAGAACGGTTAAACAGTAATGGACGAGAAAAAAGTGAGTTTGTTTCTTCTTTAAACATACTGAAGACTGCCTACAGTGAAAACAAACTTTCCTTTTAGCTGCAGGCACTGGAGAAGGGATATTTGTTGAGTGTGTTTCGCTTTGTTGCTAAAGCCTCCCACTACTGAGCGAGCCCTTTCATTATGTCCACACCCATGACTCACAGCAACCGTCTTCCTGACATTTTTCTCACCTTTCCTGTTTGTAACCCCCTTCCTACTTGGGCCTGACTTCTCAAGGCGACTCTGAACAAGACCCTCTTGTTTCACCAGACTCAATAGGGACGCTTTTTCCCCCCCCCTCTCTCTCCCCCTTTTCTGAATGGCACAACCCCCTTTTCTTTTATCAGCAGTTTATAGAGATAGATAGCGTTGTATGGGAACATGAGCTCCCCCCACACACCAGGCTTCATTTAGGCTCACATTCCTGTGGTGCTAAGTGATGATCTCGCTCTGTTGCTAAAGCCAGAATGCTGGAGTGAAGCTGCAGAAGAGGAGGAGGAGCAAACAAGGGTCAACCAACCTCAGAGCAGGCTTGTAACTGCAAGTGCTGCTGCTTTTTTTGTAAAAAGGGATTAGAAAAAAAAACCCTTCAACTTGAACATAATCTCTCCTTTAGAAGAGACGCTATTAATGCACAGGTAAGAACAGAGTATATAATAATAATAATAATAATAATAATAATAATAATAATAATAATAATAATAATAATAATAATTCATTCGTTTAATTAAAAACAGCATAAATTCAATATAATTAAAATATAAATCATAAATAAATGAAAGGCAGCAGAAGACAAAATCTTATATCTGCCATAAAAAAGATAAAACATGAAAAGAAAAAAAAACAATAAAGGTTTGACTCCATCTTGAACACAAATCACATATTTCTGTAACAAATTTACCATTAACATTCTCTTAAAAATATTAATCTGGCATTTAATGAATGCATAAAATTGTGTCCTACTTTCTACAGTTTTGGGGGGGGGGGGGGGGGGGTGTCTTGCAGACATCTAAACCTTAGGATATGTTTCCCCCTGCTGGAATAAAAACAAAACTTTATGTGCATTTATTTATTTGTTTTTCTTGTCTCCCCCTTTTTTTAAGGACTTGTGCTTTCCGTGCATTTTGAGACCGATACAGCCCCAGCCAAGCTGCAGCACCCAAAGGTGCCGCTCTGCTCGCTGATCCTCGCCTGGGTGTGTCATCGCACAAGGTGTGTCTTTTTGACTTGTTGCCAGAAAACGCACGGATAACGCAGTCGGGCAGTTCCTACAAGAAAGAAAAAAAAAAAAGGTGAAGCTTGCCACGGGTGACAAATCGATCAGAAGTTTCTGACTCGGGAAGCAAGTTGTTTAGTTGGACTTTTTCCTCTCGTCTGAGCGGGTCAAAGTCCACTTTTTTAACAGAGAAAAGAAAGAAGGAGAGAGAGAGCGAAAAAAATGGCGAATGTTTTAATTTTCACCATCTTCCTCGCAGTGTTGGTAAGTCTCGTTCACTTTTTTATTTATTTACTGTCCGTTACGTTTACCTGGGACTTATTTTTTTGTTGTCAAAGCTGCTTTGAAAATAAGGAAGAGTTAAGACAAAGCTGTGTGTCGGTTTTCTTCGTCAGATGAAGTCCTGCGTGGAGTCCTGTTCTCTCCGAGGTTCCCTGAACGCGCTCGTTCCTCAAACTATCCCCGTCGGATATCGGGTCGCACAAGGTGCTTAAATGTGTAATATTTGTACATTAAACTACTATAACTTCAATTCTCGTCTTGTTTACAGTTGTAGGAAACTTAACAACAACAACAACAATAATAATAAAAAACTTTTCCTTATTTTTCTTTCTTTCTTGTAGTCAAGGCAGCGGACTGCGACCCCAGTTCGCTGCGGTCGGGGGACCCCAGTTTTACGATTCGCGACGGAGCGATAATCGCACTAGTTTCTGTGTCGATGGCCTCCGGAGAGCGGACATTTTCTGTCAGGGCTCAGGACAATAGTGGGCCGGGCAGTGAGATGGAAGTACACCTTGTGTGTCCAAATCCGGTGCAGACAAATGTAAGAAGACTTGAGACTCATTTCATCATGATCTGTGGGGCTTAAAACAAAGTTATCAAATTAATTCCGAGTTGTTTTTATGTCGCAGCGAAAACGCCAAGAATTGTTGAGACGCAGAAAAAGAAACTGGCAACCTCCACCCTTCAACATATTAGAAAATGACGCAGGACCCTTTCCTAAATATGTTGAGACGGTAAGTGTTCATGAAAAATACTCGTTTCTTTGACATCTGTAACATGTCAAAGGAGTCCACATGTTCATTCAATAGGTCAGTGATGGGTCATTGGACCTTTGGTGTTTGGGTGTTTTCTCTTACTTTAATGTTACAGTTTATTAATGAAAGAAAAAAAAAACATGTCATTTATTGCTCTCTTTTTCACCCCCCATTTTTTTGTAACAATTCAAGAAATCATCTTAAAAAAGTCCCATAATGAATTAAAAAACACACAACTACTAACATTCTACTTTGAAATAAAAAGAAAAGGCTGGGAGAAAAAAAAAAGAAAGAAATGTATCCATATGAACAGAAACCTGACATCATCAGCAAGAGTTTGTTTGGTTTCACTTAGATCAGAGGTGGCCAAAGTGGGGTCCGCGGGCCAAAATTGGCCTGCCAAGCTATTTGATTTGGCCCGCCGGCAGTTGTCCTGGCTACTAGGTTGTATTCTCATGTTTTATGTAGAAACACTATATTTCCACTTAATCCTTCCAACCATTGGTCCAACTAAGGGCTGCAGTGCAGAAAGTCTTAACTCGTGGCGCTTACTGTATCTTTATATAAAAAATTAAACATAAAATACAAGTAACTAGACATTTAGATTATATTTAAGCATACATCTAGATTTGCACATTTTATAAGATCACAAATAGGCTACTCAAATTTTAATTTATGAAAAGTCCCATGAGCTTTTGCTGCTCAAGACTGTACGTCAAATTTTCTGCACATCAATTGCCAATAAATAAATAAATAAATAAATAAAAAAAGTGGGCCACCGCACTGGCTGCTAGCTTAATCATAAAAAAACAAAACAACTTTACTTAAAAAGTATTTGCATTTCATGTATTACATTATTGCATTTGGCCTGCAGCCCTCAGATTTATTTTCATTTTGGCCCTCTCTGTGAAAATGTTTGTGCACCCCTGACTTAGACTTTAAATATCAAAATCAGAGATGCCTGAAAAATGTCAGGGGACCAGTTTCAATACACTATTACACTAAAACTATTGTCTAGTGGGACTGGTGAAATTGTTACAAGGCCCTTGAGTTTGGCATGTGTGCTAGAACTAAAAACTCATTAACTCATTTTTTTAATGAGAAAAAAATTTATATACTTTTGGGATGAAACAGTCGTTAACATCACAATAAATACTGTTGCAACTCAGAATAATTATTTTTGTGCTTGCTGTGTACTTACTACTTAATTATGTTTAACATTCTTTTTTTAATAGATCGTGTCAGATTCGTCCGTCAACTATTCTGTGTCCTACTGGATCTCTGGAAAAGGGGTGGATGAGTATCCATATGACATCTTCCAGCTCAACAAGGACACTGGGGCTCTGTATGTGAACAACCCATTGGACCGTGAAAATATTGCAGTATATACAGTGAGTGTTGGAAAAAAAAAGCAATTTGTAATTATTGCACGAGAAAGTCATTGTTTGGGAGATTAAATCATCTGAGGTTAGCAAAGATTGTCCTTAAGAAAGACCACCAGTGTGTGAATGTGTGTGTGAATGGGTGAATGCCTGACCTTTAAAGCGCCTTGGGGGGTCAAGCCATTTACCGTTTTATTACCATTGTACAACAAAGACACAAACCAGAGAAGTTAGAATTAGCCATCCTTTTATTTTACTTTTGTTTTTTTTAAATACATAATTTTGAAATCCCCGCTCCTTACAATAGAACATATGTTCAATACTGTTAATATTAAAACTATTTAAAGCTGTTAAATCACATGGGACAGGGAAGACATTTTGCTCATACAACATGGTATGCCTTTTTTAATGCTCCTCAATATAGAGTCGAAGAAAAGTGAAAGAAAATGCACTTATTTAAAATCACAAAATGATACAATACAACCTTATTAATAAAGCTCTTAAAAACCACCATTTGCCTTGGAGGTGTACATTAATAAAAAAACAAATAAAAGCAAACGTAAAAGCAATACTCAAAACAATCTGAAATGTTAAACAATGAAAACATTCAAAGCCCACATCTCAAGCCGAGTTAACGTGTGCCCTGTAGGCCACATCCTTGCTGGGCCGGGTAGGCTGCTCAAAACTGCTGTGAAATGAGACGGCCTACCCTTCACATGACGTCAGCTTCACGTGAGTTTTGTGACCACGTGTTCCCCCGTTACCATAGTGATCAGTTTCATGTCGGGCTTAAAATCCGTTGAAACRTGTATTTACACGTCTTTTTACTGGAAGAGTAACTTCGCAGTTAAAACTTTAAATGTAAATAAATAAACATTAAAAATTCRGGTTTAGCTCCAGTATCTACGACGGAGTATTAACTACGTGAYGACTAAATCTGTCAATGCATCTATTAATTTCAATACAGCTTCAGTTTATAGTCGTTTGCACAATTTCCAAGTCCTCCTACTGGTAATTTGATACTAATGTGCTAAAAGATTAACTATTTTAAGCAATACTAAAAAAACAACTTGACAAGTTGCTCAACATTCCTCATTTTAATGCAGTGATAACTGCATGCTTTTTCACGTAAAGGCAAGAATATTATGACTTTTTTCTCGTGACATTATTACTTTAATCTTGTAATATTACGGTTTTATTCTCATAATATTATGACTTTAACCTTGTAATGTTATGACTTTATTCTCGTAACTTGAATCACAGCATTTTCTTTTATTTAACATCTTATTGCAGCATAAATTTCATCAGCTAAGTTGCTAAACTTACTCTTAAAAGCAAATCCTTCGGTCCGTGGTGAATTTCCAAACTGCGTCGACTCGTTAAAAAAAAAAAAAACTCCACCGTCTTTGTTTCTGTTTATTTTGCTGCCCGCGCATTGAATCCTGGGATATCCTCGGCTGGTGAGGATACACGGATGCATCCTCGGATTTTGAGAGTTTGTTGATGAGGAGCCTTCAAATGTTTTTTTTTTTGTTATAAACTTTATTCATTTCATAAAACAAAATTCTATGTATAATAAAAAAGAAAATACAAATAAAATGAAATGAAAGGTGGCAGAGAGAAGAAAAATCTTATAATATCTGCCCCTTTTTTTTCTCAAATATAGATTCAAACTATAAGGATCTTCAGTTAAAACAAAACAAAACAATGAAACTTTCTAGCACAACAAAGTGAATGTCTTCATATTAAACCATTTCATATTTTTTAACAGTCCAGTCTTTATCATGCTATCAGGATGGGTTTTACAAATTCATTTCAGATTCTATGGTGTTCGGTACTTGTCAGTACTAAACACTCGTCTCTATACAAGTGGACAATAAACAAAATCAAACTTTTGCACTTTTGTTCACAGTTGCAGGTCACTGCTAAAGACAAAGCCAGCGGTCAGCTAAGAGACCGACCTGTGTACATTAACGTAAATGTGGATGATCAAAACGATAACGCTCCAACATTTGTAGGCTTGCAAGACTTTACTGTTCAAGAACAAGCCAAAGGTGAGGAAGAGGAGACGCACAACAACCATCATTTCATTTTATGGACTTTTTCCTGTGAAAGTGTTTTTAATAACCACAATTTTACCCACAGGGATAATTGTGGGGAAGGTGCAGGCCACAGACAAAGATGATCCTAACACTGACCACGCTAGAGTCCGTTATAAGATCTTAGATGCAAATAGCAATTTTGTTATTGATCCAATAACAGGTGTCCTCACCACAAAGGGCGACACTCTGGACAGAGAGGTGAGTCTTTTTATTAGTGTGCAAATTATTGACTTTGTTTATTTAAATCAAACATTCTGGTTTACAGTTTATCTGTTTAAAATTGTGATTTTTTATTTTTGATGCATCTTTGTCCCATTTTTTAAGACACAAGACAAGTACTTTGTGTTAATGGAATGCAGAGATATGAAAGGTGCACCAAATGGTTTGTTCAGTACAGCGACTGCAACAGTTACACTGAGYGATATCAACGACAACCCACCGACTTTCACCAAAGGATATGTAAGTGTCTGAAGGGGGGAAAAAAGATTAAACAAAATATTGTAACAAATTTGTAAATGTTGTTTTTTTTTCTTGCCAGTATACAGCCAGTATCGCAGAAAACGAAAAAGATAAACTTCTCCTGAGAATTCCTGTGGAGGATAAGGATTTAATAAACACACCCAACTGGTTTTCCAAGTTTGTCATCACTAAAGGAAATGAAAATGACAATTTTAGGATTGACAGAGACCTCAAAACAAACGAAGGACTTCTTTATATTATAAAGGTGGGCATAATTTGAAAMACAAAACAAAAAACAAAAACTGTCTATCAAGTTCACAGTATTTGATTTGAGCTTCCCCTAGCAGAAAACTCTGATCTTTGTTATATTACTGTACATTTGCATCTATTTTAATCAGAAACGTTAGATAATTAAACAAAGCAAATGCATTTCTGTTTCTAAAATATATTTTTACCTGTTTTTGTTTTTCTAGCCCTTAGATTATGAGACTACCAAAAACGTAAACCTGCAGATTATGGTTCGTAACGAAGCTGAGCTGAACGGCACCAGCGCTCAGTGGCAGACCGCCCCCGTGAATATCTCTGTCATCGATGTTGACGAAGGCCCAGAGTTCATTCCACCTATCCTCCGATTCCCTGTCAAAGAAAACACACCAAACGGCACTATAATAGGAACTTACTTAGCGTTGGATCCTGAGACCAAAAAGAGTGATGGCATCACGTACGTGTTATTATTTTACGTGGAACTTTATTTTTTTGTTTGTTCTTGTTTTTTTGTGGTTCTGGATGGCAGCTAACCCAAGCAAATTCTCAAGACCCCATCTCCAGTTTATGTTTCTGCTCTTAAACACCGGAGGGCAGACTATGTTTGTTGAACTGAAGGAGCTTTTAAAACACAGTTTCTTTACTGTGTTTCAGGTATTACAAGCTTTATGACCCAGGGATGTGGGTAAATGTGGACAAAAATACTGGACAGCTGAAGGTTGCAAACACAATTGATAGAGAGTCATCTCTTGTCCAAGATGGGATGTACAACATCACTGTGAGGGCTGTTGATTCCAGTAAGTTACCTTCTTCTGATTCTTTCTTAAACTGTTTAAATAGTAATAGTATAGGGACAAGCATACTCTATTTAAAACCATCGCTGTTTGACTGATGCAGTACAACAATGCCCTGCTAGTTAAATCTCAGTCCAATGGACATTTGCCAAATCCAATCAGAATTAGTGGTTTGGAAGGATATCTCGTCTACCTGTTAAATTACAGCAGAGAACATACTGTATTGTTCACAGACTTTTCTTTTGATGAAGGCTTAATACCAGTCAAACGTGAAAGGGAAACAGCCCTTCCTTGTGTGCCTGAACATAATGTATTCCTTTCTTTTAAGGACATCTGTTGACAAGCAAGAGTTTTCATTTACCGTGACTCATGTTATCTCTTGATCAGGCTTGTTTCTCTGTGTGGAAAGTTTTAAAATTACAGATAGCTAAAAAAGAAAAAAAAATGGTTGAATAAGTAAAGCGTTGCCCTTTTTCCTTCTTATTTTTTATGCTGAGAAGTTCACCATTGTTTTTTTCTGAGAACTAATCCAGCGCTGCTGTATTTCAGCTAACAAAGCAGGAATTGGAACAGCCATTCTTGTGATTGAAGATGTCAACGACAACCAGCCAGTGATCCCGCCTAATCTGGTGCTGTGTGAGGACAAAACAGACCAGCTTAGCTCTGTGTTGGTCACGGCTGAAGACAAAGACCTCAATCCATTTTCTTCACCCTTTACCTTTCAATTGTTACCCGAGTTTAAAGACAATTGGTCCCTGGAACCATCCAATGGTAGGTATTTTGAATTGTAGGCACTCAGGTTATGTCGAAGAGTGTCTAATGCTTGGCCCCTTTCTTGTCAAGACGCTAAACATGATTTAACCCAAACTTTTACAGTAATGGGTGATATATACCGTAGATTGAAGATGTGATTTTAAACGTTTACACTGCCTTACACGACTTGTGTTTTTGTTTTAGCAACTTCTGCTAAGTTGAAGCAGGTGAAGAAACTTCCCACGGGGGTATATGATGTCTCCATGGTTGTCAAAGATCTGCAAGGATATGGTGAAAAACAGACGACAAAAGTCACAATCTGCCAATGCCAGAATGGAGTCTGCGTGGCCAAGAAGAGCGCTGTGTCTTTAGGGCCAATGGGTGCCTTGGCATTGTTTTTGCCTCTGTTGCTGCTCCTCCTGCTTTGTGAGTCCCTAAATATTGTCACAGGGATGGTAGATTAAGTGATGTACAGACAATGAATTTACTAAAAGTAAATCATGCTTGTGGCCAAACATATAGAATGTTAAGTTTTATTGGATTTTACATGTCTTTTTAGGCATTTTGCGGTGATATAATATTTAAATGTAGTATATAGTGTAAATTATATCTAAAATGTTATTATTTTTTTGATTTTTCAGTCTTAGCCCTTGCATTTCTATGCAAGACGAAGGGAGAGAAAGTAGAACTTGAAGATATGGGATACGGTGCAGGAATTCTGCTACCATCAAACACAGAAGCCCCGGGAGATGAAGTGGTAAGACCGTCATCATAAACTCCACTTCATCGCTTCAACGTTTTCATTTTGCTTTACTTCACTGACTTTTTTTATTGTGGCTTGTTTTGCTTTGCAGGATTCCACTTTAATGAACGCTCCTTTCACTGGGATTGATCAAGGAGCTAAAGGCTCCATAAAGGGTTCTATCCAGAATACAGCATGGCTGGGAAACAAAAGCATGAGCACAATCGGAGGTCACAGTATGCACGACTTTGGATATCAACAAACCATGACCAATTTTCAAGATTTCTCATCTGGCCAGTATGATCAGTACGGTGGTCAGCTCCTTGGTAATGGCACGGATTCCAGGCATTTCTTCCAGGATGCATCCTATTTGGAGACCTGCCGAACAAACGAGCTTCTTCTACAACAGGTAAAGTTTAATTATGTCTTTTAGAATATGGTAGAGATTTATGTAGGGGTGGGAATTAGCTTTAAAGAGTTAGGGAAGAAGGATGATATGTCCAGCTGCAAAAAGCTTTCAGTCTGTGAAGTTTAATAACTTCTGTGTTATCTGTGAAAGGAAAAGAAGCTCCCATATGCATTATAATCTTGTGCTATAAGCCGTGATTGTCTTCTCTGTAAACTTTAATATTTCTTGGTAAGAATTTTCTTTTTTTTCTCTCTGCGGCTGACTAGTGGAGTGTTTGTTCAATTTGTAATATCTGACTGCCAGTCATATCCTGAGCTGGAGTGTGTTATCACACCATCCTTCCCTCAGTCCTCCCAGATAAATAACGCTCCCTCCTCCTCCTGCCTTACAGAAAGTCTACACTTTGGGGACTGAGGGCGACGAGCGATACGCAGAGGACATCGTCCACGCGTACGGTTACGAGGGGGCGGGCTCCGATGCCGGCTCGGTGGGATGCTGCAGCCAAATCGGTGACCCCAGTAACCTGGACTTTTTAAACACACTCGGACCAAAGTTCAAAACTCTCGCAGACGTTTGCACAAAGTCGTGAACAAAGACAGTTAACAGTGTTTGCTTTTCACGGCACATGGATTAGAGGCGTGACATTTTAAAGCTGGTTGTACCTTCTGAACTTTTTTAGTGTTGCCTTTTCTTGTTGTTTTTTGTTTGTTGTTTGTTTTGTTTTGGGAAGCTTTTTGGTAGAAGTCATTTGCACTGAAAACTAAGCAAAGTCTTTCAGTTTTACATGAATTGTATTCTTGTGTGTTAATTTCACTCCCAGTGTATATAAAAAGATGCAATTTTTTTTGTTTTTTTTATTTTAATCTAAACATTTTGTGAATATTTTGTGTTCAATGCTAATTTTTTTGTAACTTGTGTGATTGATTTTGTTTAACCATAGATTTTTTAAATATATATTTTAAGAAAAGAACCTAAATGAACAAAGATTTTAATGCAAATGCTTTTTTATTGACATTTCATTTAGATTTCACATCAACTCACACACTTCTAGCATTCCGTTTTAAGAATTCTGCAGTGATTTTCAACTGGAAGCCATTTTCATCCCCTCTGTTATGCAGTAATTGTCTGCACAAGCACATTCTGGCTGCACTGGAATGTGTTTACTGTTAACTGGGTGTAGTTTCGGGCCCTGTGTCTGTGGGGTTATTGCGACATTCTGACTGCACTCTTGTGAAAGTCAACACAAGGGAGTGAACGGGAGGGGTCGGGCGTGACACTGTCCGTAAATAACTTTCAGAAACGCTCCCAACATGTAAAGCCAGACACTTCCATATAAAATCCACAGAACCTGTTCATTGTTTCATTGACCTTTTTTTCCCCCAATAATGCATTGAATGGATATTAAACTTCTGCTGTTCTTACAAGTTTCTCACAAGTTTAATTTCAAACAAAAATAAATTCAATGCAGATTTGAAACGAAGTGATTGGTTTGCGTTGAAGTCTTTGCAGCTCAGCTTTCATGCTACAACTTGTAATATTTTCACGCTTCTTCGCCGAACGGAGCTTCCCATGCTGAAACTGGCGCAGACATTGTGTACTTTGGTTTAATGATTCTCTAGGTGTGGCAGTCTGAGCTGCACATTGTTACAGCGCACTCAAAGGGCCTTAACAACAGGCTAATATTTACCTGTGCCCTTTTTGCAAATCGAGGAAGATTAGAACTTCCCCATGACAACGGTTGTGCACAAAGCTCTGCAGCGCATAAGGAAGACCAGGTGATTGGATAAGCTTAGCATATCCAGGTGATATTTTAGACATAAAACGTTAAATAAACCATGTGCTTTATTAGTCACTGATATTTATTATTTAATACACAGTGAAAARGTACTCCTTGCGATACAGGAAGTAAAAAAAAAGTCATTCTGAACTGCAGTGGTGGGCATAGTTCACCTAAAGCACTAACGGGAACTAATTTCCTGATTAGTGCTTTAGATWTTTTGCTAATTTTAAAATTTCTTATTGGATTAGCACTTTTTAAATTTATAGGCGAAATTCAGAAATACTAACTGAGGTCTATAAATGTTATTGATCAATGTTAATGTTAACAGCTGACGGTGAAGCATTTTGTTCATATGTGTGTCACTTATCCAGTAGGTGACAATATATGAACCCAAATATGGCTGTGGAATGTCAATGATAAGTCTTAAGAGAGAAACATGGCAATATGTGACTCATGTTGTCTGTTGAGAAATGTTCATGGCTTGATTGGGTTATTTTAGTGCTTTAGAATTAGGGGACCTAAATATGTGAGTTAGTGTTTTAGGGCTTGTGATTAGTGCTGCCCACCACTGCTGAGCTATGTGTACAGTGTTTACTCCGGTAGTTGTTCAGATGATGCACTAATATACAATTCTGAAATCAGGTCTGCATTCAATGTAAACAAAACCCTTGTATTTGCGGACTTAGCAAATCTGAGTGAAAATATGTATCAATACATCAAAACTGTCTGACGTCTTGATCCCAAATTGGCTCTTCCATGGACGTTATTGACCTTTTTTTATTTAATTTTTGGTCCTTATGGCTGTTTCCCTTATTAAATAATTTCATGTATTTGCTCCAATTTAGCTTACAGATTTTAATTTAAAAGAGACATGCTTTTTAATCTTTCTTTCTCACATTTAAAACATTCAATTGCAGTCTATGTAAAGTGTCACTGCAATGATTGGGTCTGAATTCGTCCTTACTGCAGTTAGGGTTAGTTAGTGGAACCACAAGCCCCTCTTTCACCCTTTTTCTGAGATCAACTCATTTTGATGCTGTCTCTTTAAATCCAAATGAGGCGCTTCACACCTAACCCCCCTCCAGCTTCCAGAGCTTGATTTAGCTTCTATTAACTATCTAGCGGTGCAACTCTATTTTTTTCTTCTTTTTGCGTGGATTAGCCTTCCTGACATCACAAKGAGTGTCTTCAAAATAAAACAAACATCATTTATATATCTAGTGTGTAAAAACAAACCAACCACAATGATAGGTGTCAGTGCAAGAACGTGTGAGAATGTTTCCTGAGATGGAAATGCTCCCCTGCTGAGATCAAACACTGGGACGGCGTTAAAACTACAGGAATATTGTCAGCACAGATTAAAATCCTACTGTAACAATTATCCCAAGTTGTGAATGAGATGTTAACATCAAGGGGCTTTGATTAATATCCCGCTGGGGCCAATTAAAAGAACCTTAGAAAGTCACTTAACTTAAAAGAAAATAATGAAAACGAYCARTTAACAAAAAGTCTAACATACAGTATCACTCAGGTTTTAGTGAAGCAACTTCTTTAGGATTATTGTGAAATTAAAGGCTTAGCTTTCCWTGAAGAAAAGTGTTAGGGATGACTTATAGTGAACTGCATATCCCTTAATATGTGTCACGTAATATGTGAGAGTTTTGTGTGGGCTAATCTATGTTAGGGATCAGCCTCAGCTACCATCACACCAAATTTGATCTGAATGAGTGTCAAATTTATGGAGTTGGAGCCTTTTTAGTGTTTGATAAGATGTGCACTACTGTGTTGGCCATCTTAAATATAATCAACTCCCAAAGTGAATCAGTTGTAGAGGTACATCCTGTGATTACTTTCTAAGATGTTTCATGAAAATATTTCCATCGGTTCATATAATATTTTGCTAACAGACAGTGTGTGCACATTGGCAAAAAAATTATTGCTGCCTCGCCTTTGACCGTAGGCGATCTTGATGTATTGAAAAGCTGCAATGATTCACAAAGACTTTGTGTCATTTTAAATCATGCGTCAGACATTAAAGCTGTTGTACAGTTACTCAGTCTTTGCCCTTTTATGAACTCTTGACTCGTGCAACGGCTCWCAGTGATGACTTCGCTCTGAGACTTGGGATTGAAAGTTACACGAATAGCAAAATGATTTGACACAGTTTATTTATAGGTGCTTACCACTCAGCGCGTGTGAAATTTATCACTTACGTTCAGACCGAGAACCAGGACTCAAAAGAGTTTAACGTAACAGCAGTTTCACTCTTCCTTCTTGTTTGCTGCAGTGAATTACATTTTTCTCACATTCTAATATAAAAATACATCAGCGTAAAAAATAAACCCTGTTATGCACAAAATGACAAGTTCAAATGATGAATCTTCGAGACACGAGAAAACATTATCAGCTGCCAAAGACGAAAACATATTAGAASTATATAATTTCTTTAAGGATTATCAGAATACGTCCTTGGTTTTTATAAAGTGAAGCAACAGAYGAGCTAAATCATTCAGATACGTGTGTGTCCACCCTTATCAGAACTGCTTGAGCCGTCATTTTAAGTCACCTTTGCAAAAATGCAATTAATTCTAAGGCAGAGGTGTGAAATTCATTTATTGCTTGTAATTAGTTTTCGTCATGCTGTGAAAACAATCTCTCCACTCATCCTCTGTCAGAGAATTTGAAGACATGCAGCTTCATTTGAGTTCGGTGTGGAACAAGAGCAAGACATTCTGCAGCAATGATGTTTGGACTCCAAAATGTATTTGACTTTGAATTTAAGAGTTATTGTGTGAATTCAGCCCCCGCACTTGTGACTTTTTTCTTTTTCTTTTATTGTTTTTAATCAAACTACKTCTGCAAACTTTGTTCTAACTTAGCCATTCAAATCAGCTCATATATGGGCCATCATGTTCCATTTTTGTAACTTTTATACGTTTCAAAAATTTCAACTTTAGGCTTTACAAATAATTTCTACATAGAAACACATTTAGATCCTTCAAAATATTGCTCCGTTTAAAATCTGCTTCAACATAAGTGCACTGTTTTTGTCTTCTAGCTTTTAGCTACTGGATTAACTTTATCTTTTAGCTGGCCTTGAACCACTTTTATCTTCTACATACCAGCTGCCAACTTTCAACTTCTAGCTACTGTTTGGATTTTCTTAGCTTTTAACGCGCACTTTTCTGCTTCTGGTTTTGAGTTATGTGTTWTGCTAATTGAAGCATTTGCTGCATCTAGCTTTTAGCTGGATTTCTGCTAATTAGTTTTGACAACTCAGTTTGAGCTTCTATGGCAATTTTTAAGCAGTCATTTCTGTATCAGGAAATGCCTTTTCTCTGGGAGTTCACAAAAAATATTTTAGTTTCCCTCAATGCACACAACAGAGGATTATTYTAAGTGTTTGTCATTTGATAAACAAGGCCATGAACGGTTAAATTATGCTAAACCATAAGATGACCTACTGAACATATTGCATCTCCAGCAGATGCAGTGGCAGTTTGGTGCAGTTCCTGGGATGACCACTTGGTGGCACACTTACCCTCTCATCTGAGCTCCTCCCCAGMTGGCTGCTCGTGCTGAATGTTTTCAGGAGGTAGCTGGTCTGAGTTGCCACGTGTTTTTCCAAACACCTGAAACAAGTTCAAACTCTGAAGTCAAACCCGAACCTTTAAAATGAAGCAAAGTGACGAGTCGAGGCACTTTGATACGCCAGACGCTTACTATACGCTTAAAGTCCCCTTCATTGATGTTTACGTTTCTTCAAAAAAAAGCTTAGGATTTCCACTCACATGTGTAATTATGAGGGTTTAAAGGAGAGTGGAATAAACCACTCAGGACAGTGGTTGAATCTGGTGTGACGCACATTTAAAACTCAGTTTTACTGTAAAATAAGAAGCCAAATCCAAAGCTTATATTTTACAATAAACATTATCAAGGTGCATTTAAAAATGACATCATTCATTTGTTTTTGTATTGAACTTGGGCCCATGACCATGAACATTTTGCAGAGGATTTCACGTCAGTGCTCACCTCTTAATAGCATTTACTGTCTAATTTGGGCCATTCATGTACAATATGCTTTGTAGTTTTGTGTCTCTGCAATCATTCTCTCACAATTTTTAACTTTAATTTGTATTTATGTCTTAAAGAATAGGTAAAGTTTAGAGATTTTGCTCTTTAGTTCATCATGTTGTATCTTTATTTCTGTATTAGTTTGTTTTGCATGTGTTTTGTGACTATTAAGATCTTGTGAGTCACCCTGGCAGATTTTCCAGTCCTCTGTGTTTTTAGTCTTTTTTTGCCTCATACCTTCCCTTCTTTTTATAGAAATCTTTTTGCAGTTTATTTTGTATCGCTTGACTCCAGTCTTTTCATCCYTTTATCTGCCCATGTCCTTAGCTAGTAAAACGAAATACTATAAGAAAGAAAATGTCAGACAGTTTCAAAAAAATCACGTTAGGATATCTGCTTCGAAAAACAAAAACAGAATTTAGCTGAATTTCTGTCACGCTCAAACTTTTCCAACGCCACGCCGAAGTTACCTGTGACAGCGTTTGTTAGTGTTTACTGTTAATAGCAGAGCGCAGCTGACATTTTAATGAGACATCTGCCAAACTGCAAGCCTCAGACACTCACTGTACGCAGGTCTCAACTCAAAAGCACTCAAGTGAGGAACAGTTTAAAATATACGTTAAATT